TTGTAGTTGGTTATTGTTGCTGCTGTTTGTTGACGAGTGAGGATAAAGTGAAGTGGTTTATGAGTGTTAAATGTTCTCGCGTCTGTTTTATCTCTCTCTTTCTCACCTACAAAAACACACATCTCTCCCCACTTCACACATCCCTCTCCCCCACTCATACACACGCTCATCTTCATCAGCCCCCCCCACAAACACCTCTCCCCACTTCCCACCTACACCCACGCCCCCTCTCCCTATCTGTCACACTATAATTGGCTACAGGCGACACATTGAAGAACACACACCAAACAATATGAAGTGTTGTTTATTTTTTTTTCTTTTGTTATTTTCAGATCGTGTTTGATAACTACAGGAGGGCAGTGGGTGTGAAGTTTGAACACCAGGGGAAGGTAGGTGTTCTCTCCCCTTCCCCCTCCCTCTCTCCCCTTCCCTAGTTCCCCCTTTCCCCTCACTCCTCTTCCCGTCACTCCCCGCCTTCACTGTCAAGATTAATTGAAAGTCGATGAAGTACAACCCTTGCTGGAGAGAGAGAGAGAGAGTTACTACTATTTTCTTACTATAACTACTACTATTATTATTTCTCCCGAAGGTGGTGGTGATGAAGGCGTTGAAGGAGGTGCTGGTGTGTGCAGGGTCACTCGCCTCCCCTAAACTACTCATGTTATCTGGTGTGGGACCTCAAAAGCACCTCCAGTACCACGGGGTAAGTACAGTACCACCACGGGGTCAGTACAGTACCACGGGGTCACTACAGTACCACGGGGTCAGTTCCACCAGGGGAGAAAGGGCTTCATAGATACTCATGCCTGTGTAGCTGTCACGTCACTAAATCTGGGGTCATGTTAACTTGTAGTGCCATTTAACATGACCTTCCATATCCCGGGTCACGTCTGGTCTTGTCCACTCATTCACTATGGCACTAAACATGACCTCGGCAAGACTCATCAGTAACTGTAGTGGTGTTGGTGCAGGTGCCGGTGGTGGCAGACGTGGCAGGTGTGGGCAGGAACCTACAAGACCACCTCAACCTCTACGGACTCACCTGGACGGTAACACCTGGCACCCTCCCCTCCCCTAACCTCGAAGATGTTGTCAATTACCTCAACGAGAAAAAAGGTTGGTAAATTTCCCGTCAGGAGTCAAGGTCATAAAAGGCCACTAATACTTTTCAAGGTCAGAAAGTTCCTAGTATCTGCTAATTAAGGTCAGTGTCTCCTCCACCTGGGTCAGTGTTGTCACCTCTACATCATCAACACCGTCTGTAGTCTTCAGTTAGTAATAGTTCAATGTGTCATGTAAAATGTATTTATATTCTTGTTTTCAGTGTTTATATAATTTCCTCAATAAACATGTTTGTATTATGATAAACAATAATACTCTATTTTTAATACCTAACGTTTAAAAACATTAATGTGTCCCAGATAATCTGAGATAATTTCCTCGAATGATAAAAGTGTGACTGGTTTTCTGCTCGTCCCTGGGCTCACCTCAGGTAAGCTGGCGATGCCCCTGGGGGACCACTCAAGTGCCTGGGTGAATTTAGGAGGTAGACACGGTGACCCCGGGTGGCCTGACATACAGTACCTCTTCAGCAGCGTCACCCTCGCCGCTGACCGTGGCTTTGTAACACCCGCCACCTTCGGTTTTGACCCCAGAGTGAGTAACTGAGTACATCTTAACACCCCCCCCATCGCCACCACCACCATCCTCAAAATAGACGCAAGAACTTTACCTAAAATACAAGTTTTTAGTCCCAACAAACTTACAACGAACACTTTATTCCCGTCCAACGATACAAATAAATCCTGACAACACAAAAGAACCTCTCTACAAACACACAGAGAGAGAACTCCTTAATCCTGTATAAAGAGACAAAGCGATCATTGAATTCCCCTACACAGACCCGCCGCACCAAGACACCACCTCGCATACACTCAACCTAGTCTCAGATAAAAAGGTATTAACAACATATCTTTGGTTCACTGCAGAAATTTAACAAGTACTTTGGTCCTATACTGGGTCAAGATGGCTTCACTCTGTACCTGAACCTGTTAAGACCTCGCAGTGTAGGTAAGGTCACACTGAGGTCCCGTGACCCTACCCACAACCTGGTGATCGACCCTAATTACCTCAGTCACCCGGAAGATGTCGCCACGATGATCAAGGGTGAGTACCGCTGTTGTTGAGTACTACTGATGTTGAGTACTACTGCTGTTGAGTACTACTGGTGTTGAGTAATACAAGGAAAGTTAGTTTAGATTAGGTTAGATTAGATTATGTTAAATTTTGTTAGCTTTAAGTTAGGTTAAGTTTCGTTAATTTAATTCAGGTTAAGTTACAGTAGCGTTACGTTAGGTTAGCTGGTAGGAGGGGGATAAATTTAACATCCACTAAAAGGTTTTCACACTAAGTTATGTTTCCAGGGATAAGATTTGCACTAGCCATCGGCAACACCTCAGCGCTCACCACCTACTTCAAGGCCAAGTTTCACGAGAAGGTAAACTAAGCTGGGGTCCCAAGTCATACCTGAAAACAAACCCCCAGCTTATTTCACCTTAAGATTAATCAACCTAACACCAACCTAACCCATCCCAATATAAACCTAATTTAACCCCTCCACCAGGTAGCGTTGGGGTGGTTAATCATCAGGTGAAATAAGCTAACTAATCTTCAGGTGATCCGATTCTTAGTATAATTCCGACTCTTAAATTGTCTTTATATAACGTATCTAATATTGTCCCAGTATAATCTTAGTGCCTTTTTGGACGTCACTTGTATGAATCAGTTTAAGCTCGCCCACAGAGGAGAAAATTTAGTTATCTTACATTTTAAATATACTGTGGACTGATGAAAATTCTCTTAGGCCCTATAGAAACTCTCACTAAATTACTAAAATATCTGTGAAAACAATTAGAATGTACAATAATAAGCTAAATAATAATAGTAATATCAACAACTATTATTTACATCATTACTCCCACTACTATTAATAACAACAATAACAATCAGCTGACTGTCACAAACATGTCCTCTCGTGTACCTCAGCCGCTGCCAGGGTGTGAGGGAGAGAGGTACGGCTCAGACAGCTACTGGGTGTGTTACCTACGACACATGGCCTCCACCTACCTCCACCCCGTCGGTACCTGCAGGATGGCTCCCTACCACGACCCTAGCGGTGTAGTGGACCCCAGGCTCAGGTAAGGGAGAGGGGGTGGGGGGAAGGGTGTGGGAGGAGGAGGTGTATGAATGTATAATCTCTATCCACCTACCATTCTCTATCTATCTATCTATATCTATCTAGCTATCTATCTATCTCGGCACACGGCAGGGTTCGAGGAGTGTCCGGGCTGAGGGTGGTGGACAGCTCTATCATGCCGACCATCGTCTCCGGTAACCCCAACGCCGCCGTCATCATGATAGCTGAGAAGGCCGCCGACATCCTCAAGGAAGACTGGCAGGGATTATGACCACTCTCAGGATAGGAGGAATTATACCAATCACCTGAAGATTAGTCCACCTAGCTTATTTCACCTGATCATTAGTCCCCTTTTAACTTATTTAATTTAAAAGATTCGCCCCCTCCCGAAGTTTAGCCCTAAGAGGGGTTCGGTTGGGGTAACGTTAGGTAAGGTTGGGGTCCGGACAAAACACCCCAAGGACAAAACCCCCTTATTTAGAGGGGGTTAGGTTAGGTTAGTCTTTTGATATAATAATGTAATATTTTACATGCAAGAGAAGCGTTTATAAACTATAACTAATAAAAAGAATAAAAATTATGATTTAAAATGTTTATTTATATTGATGTAGATAATTTATTCCTTTACATAAGAAAAGTGGACGAGTGTTTTCTGGTTTATTCACAGAGGGAGAAGGTTTATGTAGGTGGAAGGGGTGAGGGTGGTGGGGGAGAGGGTTTATGTCGGTAGGGGTGTGGGGAGGTTTATTTAGGTAGGAAGGTGGTGGGAGAGTAGGTTTATGTAGGTGAGGGGATGAGGTTTATGAAGTAGTGGGGGCAGGAACATAAGAAAATAAGGAGTCTGCAATAGGCCGGTTGGTCTGTGCATGGCAGCTCCTGTCGAGAGTTACAACCACTCTCTATCATCCATGAATCTATCTTGCCTCCTTTTAAAACTTTTCAGCATCCCAGCAATTATTACAAAGTTGCTAAGCTTGTTCCACTCGTCCACCACCCTATTTGTGAACCAGTTCCTTCCTATAACCCTCGTAAACCTAAACTTATCCAACTTAAATCCGTTGCTACGAGTCCTATCCTGCTCGGATATTACAAGAACTTTATCTATATCTCCTTTATTGATTCCTTTCACCCACTTCAATACTTCTATCATATCTCCCCACACTCTTCGTCTTTCTAGGGAATGCAAGTTTAGTTTCTTTAATCTATCTTGATATGGAAGGTTTCTAAGTCCCGGAATCATTTTCGTCATTCTTCGCTGCACCGACTCCAGTTAATTGATATCCATTCTATAATAATGTCACCCGAACTGAACTGCATAACCGAGGTGCGACCTGACTAGTGCAAGATATAATTGCAATATGACCTACGCACTCGTATTACTAACACTTCTAGATATAAAACCTAATACTCTGTTTGCCTTATTTCGAACATTAACGTACTGTTTTCTAAGCCGAAGGTCAGGGCTTACGAGTACCTCTAAGTCTATTCACAAGTCAGCTTCTCTAGGTTGACTTAAGGCTGTATACATTGACAGTTCTTCCATATGGACTTGCAACATTCAGACTGAGGTAACGAAATATTCAAGAGCTTCAAAGTAAAAATGGCAAAAAAAAAAAAAAAAATCTTTTACATTGACTAGAAAACATCGCTTCGTCAAATCATGCATGAGGTAACGTGGTCTTTCCTCTACCCCACCACCAACACAGCTACTGACTCCATCTATCACCAATAAATAACGACGGCTGCTTCTTCTCCTCCTCCTCCTCCTCTTACCACTAACTACTCTCTCGTACATCTTATTCACTAAGGTATCATTCATCACACCATCTTCATTACCATACCATAACAATAGGCTTTTATCATGACGTCTTTCTGATGCTCTTTCTCTCTTACACATTTTTCACTTCCTCATTCTTTACGCCATCCAACTCTTGGTCATAACAACACCAAGGAAATTATTCACTTTTCTTGTGTGTATTTTTGACTTTCTTGTACCTTCCGACTTAACAGCTTCCACACAATAGCGTCTGAGTTCCTCCTCCATCAAGCAGATTCTTGTGTATTTAAGGTTTCCCCGCTTACCAGGGTTTGCCAGGCCACCTTCAACTCATTCTCCTTGCAATTCTTACCTTAATACTCTATCTTAACCCTTCCTAGCCTGTTAAAAATAAAACCCATATACAGGTTGTGTAGATTATGTATAACATTAACTTGTCCGGGTAAGTGATTTATGATATTTACTTGGCCGGATATCATTTTGGAGGTCATTTGTTTACCCGGATTTTTTATGGTAAAAGTTAAATACACATCTTACAACATTCTAGTTTATTGTGTGTGTCAACTAAAAGATCACTTGTGTCCGTCTAAATGGTGTCAGTGGCGGTAACCCCTGTCATGTGATGTCCCGTCACCTCGCGTCTATAGCCTCTCAGCTATGAAAGACTGACGAGTGGTAAATTACGTACGTCTGACATAGGTCACCAATCCTGGTACACTGATAACCTCCCTGTTAAACGTGTACAGGGAGGTGGGTCACACAGCACCTGGCAAATTCCCGTCAAAATATTAGCTTGTCCGCCGGGCAAGTGCCGGGCACATGGACATGAACAATCATATGCCCGGCCCCCTATCCCGGGCATGCTGGGCTACCGGGCACTGCTAATCTGCACAGCCTGCCCAAATACCTGGATTCATTTACTATTTATACTTCCAGTTTATTCAGATAATTTACAGAGGCTGTCCACCTGTCCTCAATACTTAAAAGATTAACTCTAACGTTCTCCTCTTGTACTGTGCTGTGCTGTATTGTACATATCATTGAAACAACTCACCATTCCGCTTGTTTTTATTCGGGTAACATGAAACACTTAAACCTTTACAGCAACATAACTCCCTCATATCTCAGGACAATGATATGCTTTATCCCGTACACGATGCTTCCTCCGCCTATAAACAGCGGCTACTCCCTCACGCCATCATCTCGCACCAGTACAGTATGTTGAGAATGAGTCACTCAGCCTGGCCACACTGGGTCAAGTCATCAAAATATCCCCCGAGAGTTTACCAACACTGTTATATTTAAATTTACAGAGAAGCTTCATTAACACTGTAGTTTAGCGATGTTTGAATAAGTCATTATAAAATGTTTCTAAAAAGGGAACTGATAAATTTCCGTGACGAGTCCGGGAACAAAGTGGGAGCTGCTGTTTATACACGCGACCTGTGCAGTACTCTGCAGGGTCTAACTATACCTATAGCAGTCAGGACCACGGCTGCTTCTTCCACGGTTACTGTAATTATAACTACTACTACCGCCGCTACTGTCGCTGCAGCTCTCGGGGAAGCACACTAGTACACTCGCATCCCCTCCGCCGTGAACATGGTGGCGTCTGGGTGGCCTTAATTTGAGTGGATGTAAGTATAATGCCGACCACCCGTCACCGCGTCGCTGTATACACTTGGCGCTGTGATTCATCTATGTCTGACTCTCATGAATTTAAGTAGAGGGAAGACCTTGCAGATATTTCTCATAAAGAACCTGATGCAACAAACATAAGAGGACTCAAGTACCAACATTCTTAAACAGTCGTAAGTCAAAAAAAATCCCCCCGTGACTGATGTCGTGACCCCCCCCACCCACCACCCTTCTTATGGCTGATTCAGTTTAGTCAAGACACAGAGATGATGTTGAAACTGCACCGAGACTCGACTGTAAGTATATACTATATTCTTAGCTCCAGTTATGAAGGAAAGTGAACGTTTTCTGCATACACTACAAGGGCTGGTTGGCGTACCCAACCTCACCGCATCTTTTTAACTTTACTACTTCGTCATGATCAACAAACTTTGCTTCATTTTTATCACACTTCTCTCGTAGTTCCTTGTTTACCTTCATTATTGTGTTGTGTTATCAGTCGGTCCGGGGTGAGGTGGAGAGGTGGAAGTGGGTGGGCAGGTGGAGGAGGGAGAGGTGAATGAGGAGGGAAGGGAGATGGATGAGGGAGGGAGGTGGGAGGGAGGGGGAGTGGATGAGAACAGGAGAGGTGAAGGAGGGGTGGAGGAAGGGGAAGGTAGTAGAGAAGGGGAAGGTAGTGGAGAATGGGGAGAGATAGTAGAAGGGGAGATGAGTGGAGAAGGGGGAGGTAGTGAAGAGGGGGAGGGTAGTGGAGAGGGGGCAAGAGGTAGTGGAGGAGGGGGTAGAGGTGGATAAGAAGGGAGACAGGTGAGGAGAGAGGAGGGAGGGAGGGAGGGAGAGGACGTCAAAACCTGTTTCATGGTAATACAGGATCCTACTCTGCACACAAACTTGTATTCTCCGAGGTTCGTTAGATGAAATTTCCCTGAAAGTGTAGAGACGTAAGAACGCATCTACATGACTCACTTAAGCTAAGAGACAAAGAAATTCCCAAAGGTTCATACGCGGAATTTTACCCCAAACTGAGATTATGACAGAGCATCAAACTCACTCAAGCTACGACACAAGGGATTCGTCAAGGTCCTCACGCCCCACCCTTCCCCACCCCCATCCCCCACTCCACCCCATCCCCACTCACCCCCCATCCCCCCTCCACCCCATCCCCCCTCTCAAACTGGAGATGCAAGGACGCGTGTGACTGGCTGCTTTAGGAGAGAGAGAGAGAGAGAGCTTATCCAACAATGCATCCAAGACTCGACCATAAGTGAACGTGTTTTCCTGTCACGAACGAAGGAAAGAAATACAGGTGTAATGAACGGATAATTGAGAGACACGACCCGGGAATGTTAAGTCAAGAGGATTGTTCTATACACTATACTGTATATTTTCACCGTCAACATACTCCCGGTCAACATACTCACTGCCAATATACTCACGGTCAACATACTTACGGCCAACATACTCACGGTCAACATACTCACAGCCAACATACTTACGGCCAACATACTCACTGCCAATATACTCACGGTCAACATACTTACGGTCAACATATTTACGGTCAACATACTTACGGCCAACATACTCACGGTCAACATACTCACAGCCAACATACTCACGGTCAACATACTCACAGCCAACATACTCACAGCCAACATACTCACAGCCAACATACTCACAGCCAACATACTCACAGCCAACATACTCAACCTATCTTTCTTCAACTCCACTCCACTAGAACTAATACATTCACCACCATCACCACCAGTCTCTCACACCCAGGAGCGGAGGCCATCAGGAGGGAGGCGACAGTTCTATGTTTTCTGGAGTCGCCCTCTGGACACCTGTTACGTAAAAGACGAATTGGAAACTTTCGCCATATTTCTAAAGGGGGCGAGCATGGTGTGGGTGGGTGGGGGTGGGTGGGTAGGGAGGGTGGGTCGAACTTATCAATTATAGTTTAATTAAATCGACTTATTTACCGTTCGTGAAGCTGTTGTACCACATTCTGGATCATAAGCAACCAGCCCCATAAAATATAAGAAACAAAAGAGCATCACAACCAACCCCACATAATATAAAAAAACAAAAGAGCATCACAACAATATTCATAACCAAATTGAAAAGCAATCTACATCCACTTATACCTTATACAT